CCTGGGGTGTGTGGGAGTTTGGAGGGAGGATGTAGTGATGTAATTATATTATCTCAAAAAGAAGAAATAAAAAAGGTTAATTTAAACATAAAGTAAATGTGATCTGATATTTTGTAGTTAAACTATTTGTAATTACTGGTAGCTGGAATTACTTCATTTAAAGTAATTTAAAACATCTGTCTACCATCCCATCTTTGGGACTGTGTTTATCTTTGAAGCTCTCTAATCAAATATAGACCTTGGCCTTTTTATATCCAAGAAGTGAGTTTATTTCTAGCTTTCAGACATAGGAAATCTGTCTGATGTGGGCAGTACAGTGTTACATATACAGATTTCTGTTTTTTTCCCTTGATTATTTTAAGAGGAGATTTGTCAATAATACTGTACTAACGCATATATACTAACAAGATGTTATTAACAAAAACTCAGACAGGAATAATATTGTAATGAAGCCCTCAGTCAGTGCAACCAAGAACCAGTTTGTCTTGTTTGTATTCCTGACGTCTGTGTTTTCAAACAGAATGGCTGTTTTTCTTCCCTATATGGCAATTCAGGTAATCTGAGAAATGACAGGCTGAGATGGAAAATGGCTTTGAGGGTAGAGTGTTTGCAAAGGAGAAGGTGAGAAGGGGAGGGAGGGAAGAAGCATGGCCCCAGAGAATTAAATAAACATAAACATGAGTAATCTACAACCCTTAGAAGTAGGCTTTAGCTGGTATAACCAACCCTACGCTCTGGAAATGGTGGCAGGAATATCAGGAGTTAATGACTAGCTCGGGTACATAGTTCAAATACCACTCTGGGCTACATGAGACCCTACATCCAAAGAAAAAGAAAAGGAAGAAAAATTGTGGTTTGCTTGTAGCTTTATTTATCACCCTATTATTTCTTTGTGCTGTGGATCAGACCCAGGGTGTCACATGAGCCAGGTAGACACCACACTGAACCATAAACCTGACCATGCATCTTGGTTAGTAACATTAGAACCAGCCACCATTCTTACATAAAAATGTAGATATGAATTGGGCACATCTCTTGGTGGCACAGACCTCCCAGTGACCCCAGCTCACCCCTCCCTGTCCCTCAAA